ACACAGCTAGGTTTGCAGCGAAATCACTAAATTCTTTTAGAAATTCTGAGTAGGGCCCTGGTGGTCTATAAATGTTAAATAATGAAAATGCCTTCTTTTTTGTGGCCGGATTAGTAACGTTGATGGAGAGAACCTCAAAAGAAGTGAAGGTGTCACATTGTTTCTGACTGATATCTGGGGTATTCTGGTAGATTACACATAATCCACCTCCTTTGCCTGATAATCGTGGGCTGTGTACATAATTATAGCCCATAGGGGTGGCCTCATTTAGTGCTGAATAATCATCCTGTCTAACCCATGTTTCAGTAAGACAGAAAACGTCAAATTTATGATCACTTATAAATTCATTTATGATTACTGCTTTTGAGTTTAGTGATCTTATATTGAGTAACCCAAATTTTAGAGTTGAGGTGTTGCTGCCATCATCTGAATATGATTTAATATTGATCAGGTTGTCGAAACGGGCTGATTGAGTTATTCTACGTTTAGATTTAGATTTAATTCGGGGCAGAGACACAATCTCAATACAGTGGAACCTAGGTGACGCAACTGGTCTGACGCAGCTGGTGCTAATAATCGTCTTATTTTCAGTACTAACACTAGCATTATGAGCTGTAGCGTTTCTATCTTTGCCGCTACTTACGTGGCCTTCGCTGTGTAGTCAGCGGATGGCCCTCTCGATGTTCTGTGAGAGAACAACAGATCCTACCTGACTAGGGTGGAGGCCGTCCCTCCGGAAAAGCGCCGGCTGTTCCCAAAACAAGGCCCAGTTGTCCACGTAGGTCAAGCCGTTGAGGGCGCACCATCCGCGGAGCCAGGACTGCAGCGCGAAGAGCCTGCTGAACCGCTCGGATCCCCTCCTGTAGGTGGGTAGCGGTCCGGAGATGATGATCCTGGCGTCTGTCTTCTTCCTGGCGGTGTCCAGCAGCGTCTGGTAGTGCTCCTTCAGGACCTCGCTACGACGGTCGAGGATGTCGTTGGTCCCGACATGGATCACCACGGTCCCGAAGGCGTTTCGTCTGAGAGCCGAGGGGAGGCGCCTGGCTATGTCTAAGACACGAGCACCTGGAAAACAGGAGACAGTGGCATGGGTGTTTCTAACCTTTACTTGAACGTGGCGGACAACAGAACTACCAATAACATAAACGGAGTTCCTGTGAAGAGCGCCGGGGCGGGCGGCGAGGCCCGGGGCGCTGGGGCGGGCGGTGGCGAGGAGGCCCGGGACGTAGGTGAGGGCGTATGCGGTGTACTGAGGGCGGCGAAACGGTTTCCGGAGGCGAAGATCGGCTGGGGCGGCGGTGTGGGTCTGCAGGGCCCTCTGCGGCGCTGGCGTTCCCAGGGACAATGCGGGGCTGGCGTGAGAACGGCGTCTCCCGGCGCGCGGAAAGACGACGCTGGCGCCACCACCGAGGGGGAAACTTCCCGGGCGGCTTCGAGCATCGACTTCTGCTGAAGGAGCTCGTCCTGCTTCTTCAGCAGGGCGGTGATCTGCCGATCCAGCCGGGCCAACTCTGCACTCAGGGTCTGGAGGGCGCTTTCCTGGGCGGACGCCATGGTGGATGGGCTGAGGGAATAACTGTGAGAGAGATAGAAAAAGAGAGAGGGAGGAGACAAAAATAAGAAGGAGAGGCGTGAGGGGGTTAGCGGCCTGCTAACTGCAGAATTTTCAACTAATTTTCAAGTAAAGTTTGGACGCTGCTCGATCTGAAGTTCTAAGGTGTGGTGCTCTCTGTCGCTCGCAGTGACGTGCTCTCTGTCTGTTGGCTGTTGGCTGGATATTTTTGGTTGGTGGACTATTCTCAGTCCAGCAGTGACACTGAGGTGTTTAAACACTCCAGTAGCACTGCTGTGTCTGATCCACTCGTACCAGCACAACACACACTAACACACCACCACCACCACGTCAGTGTTACTGCAGTGCTGAGAATGACCCACCACCCAAATAGTACCTGCTCTGTGAGGGTCCATGGGGGTCCTGACCACTGAAGAACAGGATAAAAGGGGGCTAACAAAGTATCAGAGAAACAGATGGACTACAGTCTGTAACTGTAGAACTACAAAGTGCACCTATATAGTAAGTGGAGCTGATAAAATGGACAATGAGCGCAGAAACAAGGAGGTGGTCAGAATTATGACACTCACTGAAAACCTGTGAAGAGGAGAGTCCAACAGTCAAGAGCAAGAGGATCTGCTTGCTCTGTCATCTCATCCAGACTTATAGGAGAAGACTCACTGCTGTTATGGTGGCAAAGGGAGGCTGCACACTACTCACTGAACGAGTGCCAATAATTATGACACACAATGTTTTGTTAAAAGGCTTTTATTTTCTTAGACTACATTTAAACAAAGCACACATCCTGTACCCATCCGAAAACAATGAACAAATGGCCAAATAGAATTCAAATCTCTTTTATGTTGCTCATATTTATTAATAATTCATAAAATCCCAAAACCCTTAAGGTGAAAAAATGAAAGAAAGAAACAAAACAAAGGGAGTGTGATTCACCTCTGACCCTCTCTTCTATATAGTCAACTCCAAATTTCATACAGATATCAGGAGCTTCAGTGCTCCCCTGATATATTTTGCTGTTTTTGAATATTATGTATGAATATTATGACTGAATATTATGACTCGTCATTTATGACTCAAGTCATAATATTCACATCATGATCACAGACATAATATTCTTACAATCACACAAAAATATTCATAATAATGGGAAGAAAGTCAGAGATCTGCACCACAACTCAGTAAAGTCATCTTAACACTTCATATCTTTAATTTTCTAACAGCTGTGCTGCAAAATAGGTTGAATAACGGCAGAGTTTTAATTTAGATCACAGATCTGACAAGATCATAGTTGAGTTCTCAAAGAATTTGCTGGGTGGTGCTGTTCTTATATGTGGTTAAATCTGGCTCTGACTAAACAGATGATCAGGGCAGCTGGAGACCAGGACAAAGACACTCATTCAAATTAGTGAAGTCTGTTAAACACTGAATAGCTGGACACAAGACCTTGATGGCGAAGGTGAATTTGATGCCCCTACAGAAATGATTATGAAGCAGTGTTGACAGCATCAGTATTTCTTTGGGACCAAAAATATTGCAAAGAATATTCTGTAGTACCTCTGTTAAGAAGTAATTATAATTATAATAATTATATTTCATCTTATTTTTTTTACCATTTCAGATCTTTTAGGAATTCTTCAAGCGCTCCAAAATAACTGGAGTTCCTCCACTCACTTCTCTTTATGACCAGCAGGTATTACAGAAGGTTTTGGTTGTGATGCAGGAGTTAAACCGCCGCCGAATGTCTGCCTTGGGCTTCCATTTAAGATGTCATGAAGGTCCGGCAGGATGTCTACCTCTGTACCAACTTATGTGAAACTGTAATATCAGTTAAAAGGCCAGCAGAGGGGAACCTAATGGCTAACGATTTCCGGGAATTCAATTTTAAGAATGCAGATCTGTTACTTTGTTAACTTTAATTCAACAGAATCATGATTGCATTTAAACTAATGCATTACACTGAATATTAGAATAATCACAAAGTGACAGAGGAATCAATCACATTGTAAGTTACGGAGACCTATTTCATGAGAAAACACCATTCTATGCCTTCTGTAAGTCTTAGATATCTAAATCACTGTGAATGAGAACAGCGGCCTAAATAGTGGGTTGTTAAAAATGGAAAACAAGGGCAGGAACTCCCTCTCAGAGCTCTCTACTGATTTAAAATTAATTAATTAATTAAAAATACAATTAAACTAATTTGTAACGTAAACATGACACTAAGGTGTGTCGCATAATTTCAAAAATGACATCAAAATGAGACTCAAAATAATTTACAGCTGGTATTTATTTATTTATTTACCTACAGCAAACCACGGCATAAGCTTATTTATATAGAAACCTGAAGAGAAGAAACATGAAGAAATGGAATAATAACACTAGAAGAATAAAGTGCTGGTTTCCTAATCAAAGTGTGGGCTTCATATATAAAATCTAAATCAAGATAAGCGTTTGGTGTTGGCTAGAAACCATGGAAACCTGAGCCGGTCTGCTTCTTCTGAATCAATTTCCATAGCAGTCACATGGTTGTGTCCCAAACAAAGCTTCGGACACTGATGACACAGGACTTTGGAAAATGAATCAAGCATGGACAAAGTGCTTCACAGTCAATTGTGTTGGTTTTTGGTGCTCCAGTATGAAGAGACACCACTACTTTTAGAAGATCCAAATGCCCGTGTTTAATCAAGACCTGCCTTCTTTGAAATTTCTGTCCCACCTTCAACAGTGCAGCACATTCTGGTACCTAAATGTGCCAGAATGTAACTGCTGCAGCCTTTAAGGTGGCATGGAAAACTTGAATAAGAAGCCTGTCAGAAGGTGTTCATGGGAATCGCTGTTAGTTTATGTTCTGACTGAATTTTGACACCGTGCAGCCCAAACTGAGGGCCTAGCTCTAATTATTATGATTCACCGCTGCAGGCCAGAAATGAATATAAAGTTGTTTTTAGTTTGATTATTTTTTTTATGGTCTCTGTATGGTCCAGTCCATAGCCTGGCTGTTCCATAGTCTCCAAACAGCAACTAACTACAGCCAAGAACAGTCAGAAGACTCTGAGAACATTAAAGATCTGTAAGCCACTTGGGCTCCTTTTTCCACTGCGTACTACGACTCAACTCTACTCGACTCATTACTTCATTTTCCACTGCAGATGCAGTACTCCCTCAACTGGCTGTCATAGCGATGCCACAGGAAACTGCAGTGACGTGAAGGAGACAAACGTTGTTTAAAAAAAAGAGGCTGATGGCTGCACCACTGTGTCTGATCCACTCAACTACTCAACACACACTAACACACCACCACCACGTCAGTGTTACTGCAGTGCTGAGAATGACCCACCACCCAAACAGTACCTGCTCTGTGAGGGTCCATGGGGGTCCTGCCCACTGAAGAACAGGGTAAAAGGGGGCTAACAAAGTATTAGAGAAACAGACGGACTACAGTCTGTAACTGTAGAACTACAAAGTGCACCTATATAGTAAGTGGAGCTGATAAAATGGACAATGAGTGTAGAAACAAGAGGAGGTCAGAATGTTATGCCTGATCGGTCTATGCGTTTAGGGTGACAGTGACGATCCTCTCAGACCAAATAGCAGTCTGCAGTTTTTCTTGGAGCCTTCTATGGAGGTGATACCAAAAACAGTACCAGGTACCAGATTTGCCTGAAGAAGAACCAAAATAGGCAAGTAGAGTCGATTCGAGCCGGTACCATGCAGTGCAAATCAATACACAGTATGCCTCTACAGCCCATTTAGAGCTTTAAGAAATAACCACAAACAATCATAGCATAAAAAATCACAGCGTTTTGCCTCAGTTGCAGATGCACTGGTAGAAAACTCTACCTCTGACCAAATGCTGATATCTGTTAGTCATAATTGAGTTTTGAGTCGAAGAACACTCCCAAGATCTTTGTATGAGATTTCAGGGCATCCAATCTAGTCCATTTAAAGGGGGCTGACTGGTATTTAGGGATCCAACATGTTCCAAGAAAGCATCCCCAGAACCATTACATCACCACCACCAGCCTTAACTGGTAATATAATGCAGTTTGGGTGCAAAGATTCATGCTGCTTATGCCAAATTCTAACTAATTCTAGCATCAGCAGAAATCAAGATTATTGAGACCTTGAGACATTTTTCCAGTCTACAACTGTCCAGTTTGCCTCAGGCTCCTGTTCTTGGCTGTCTGGAGTGGAACACACTGTGGTGTTCTTCTGTTGTAGCACATCTGCCTTAAGGTAATATGTGCTACTCGTCTTGTTCAGAGATGCTTTTCTGATCTTCACTGTTCTAAAGAGCAGCTAATAGAGTTCTTGTCAGATCAAACAACTCTGTCCATTCTCCTCTGACCTCTTATCATCTGCTGCTCACTGTGTACCATCCTGTGTAAACTCCAGAGGCCATTGTGCATGAAAACGTTGTCCTTGGAGTTGAGGGACTCATTTTAGACACCTGCAGCTCCGTCATCCTTCCAGGCAGTAATGTGGTTTCTCTCCTGTGTGGATACGCTGATGTTTTTGGAGGCCGCTCAGCTGACGAAAATTCTTCCTACACAGCGAGCAGTAATACGGTTTCTCGCCGGTGTGGATGCGCATGTGTTTGTTCAGATTGCACCTGTCCGTAAAGCTCTGCCCACACTCTGAGCACTGATACGGTCTCTCTCCTGTGTGAATTCGCTGATGTGTTCTGAGATTACCTTTGTCACTAAAGCTCCTCCCACACTCTGAACACTGATACGGTCTCTCTCCTGTGTGAATGCGCTGGTGTCTCTGAAGAGTGCCTTGTATAGTAAAACTCTTCCCACACTCAGTGCACTGGTAGGGCTTCTCTCCTGTGTGGATGCGCTGGTGGTTTCGGAGGTGACTCTTTTGATAAAAACTCTTCCCACACTCTGAGCAGTAGAACGGCTTCTCTCCTGTGTGGATGCGCTGATGTGTTTGCAGGTTACTCCGCTGATAGAAACTCTGTCCGCAATCTGAGCACTGATACGGTTTCTCTCCTGTGTGAACGCGCTGGTGTATTTTGAGATGACTCTGCTTTTTAAAACTCTTCCCGCACACTAAGCAGATGTGAGGTCTCTCTTTGGCTGCACTGAGAGATGTGCTGGTGTAAACAGTACCAGAAGATGTTTGCTGAGAGCCAGAGCTTCTTCTGGAAGCCATTTTCTCACATGTAATCCCTTCTGAGCTCAGCAGTTTGACGTTCTCCTCTTGGAGGCTTGAGCGGAAAGCTAGGAGCAGGACAAGGACTTGCAACAGGAAGTCAGTCCACCCTGGAAGAGAAAAAGGAAAAGAAAAACAGATTAAAATGTCGAAAGCAACCAATGTGTGAAAACCATGTTAGGTACTGTTTCTAAAGTAGACAATGTTCAAACTAAAGTTACAATTTTAAAAATAATTAAATACAAACGATTCAAGCTAATATATCCTAAACTGCAAAGCATTCCCAATCATTCTGTTGCGGCCAGCACTGTCCACTCCAAACAGGACGGCTAAATGGACTATGGATTGAAACATAATGCCAAAGAAGCAGGTCGTCTAAGCAGACAACTTTCCCCACTCATCAGCCTTGTTTTGATGCTCCTCAGATCACTGGAAGCCGATTTGAGACAAAGTCTGATAAACAGTGCATTCCCGGAAGATGCGGGACACACCAACACTGAATCCAAATGTGATTTTCCCATTTGTGGCACACCTGTTTGCTTTCTCTTTTGATAGGGTGACCATGAAAGAGGACACAGAGGGCAAGAAGACGGCACCGGGCATATCCAAATGCCAGACATTTTAGGCAATTTAGGGTGTTTTCATAGTAAAGTTTTTTTCCGGACTCAGGACAGCTTGACCTGCAAGTTCAGTCTCCACCCATTTTTCAAAATTCCCTGCATAATTAACTGGTTAAGATGTAAACAGAGTCATTCAGAGCGGTTTGGTGTGAAACGCTCCGTTCTAGATAAACTTACCGAGTCAGAACTGTTCACAGTGGTGGTGATAGGAACCAGACGTCCACCTCTAAAAGCTCCCTCACAGAAAGTTCCTACATGAAATGGTTATGAATTCACTGCCTGATGACTGAGACACTGTTTTATCATAGTTTAGAGAACTTAAACTCCATTCATGGTGGAGGGATACATGCAGGGCGCTGTGAGGCAAAATAGTCCCTAAAGAAAACTTATTATTTCAGATTTTCCACTAGTTTCCATCATCAACATTCCATATAAACTCAGAAGACTCGTGTAGGTTCACTGGTGGTTCTGGATAGTAAATAAAATGTCTATATTTGTGTTGTAGTCATGGCGACCCCTGGTTCCTATCACCACCACTGTAAAGACATCTGAACCATTTCACACCAAACCACTCTGAACCTCTGTTTACATCTCACACACTGAATTAAAATGAGAGGTTTTGAAAAACTGGTGGAATTTAAGTGGTGCAGCAGGAAGGCGCCAAGATGGAGCTGCTTCACTATTAAAGGTGGAACAGAGATTTGGAATAAGAATCTGGAGAACATGAAGCTAATTTTAGCCTCATGGTCAACTGGCCAGCTTCTTGTTTGAAATAGGAACCTGACTTCAGCCTCGTATTCTTACTCAAGTCTTTGCTCATAAGTATGAAACTACCGCTCTGCGCTGATAAGAGCACGAATTACTACCATCATTAACTGATTCGTGGACGTTTTGAGGATTTACCGCGTAAGTTCGAAATAAAGTATCCATTAAATGTTCCAGAGTTGGCTTGAACACGAGGCTGAAGTCGGATTCCTGCTCGAATTTTCAGTTCCACCTTAAATGGTGCGGCAGTTCTTATTATAGCGCCGCGGGCGCCAGCATGGAACTGCTGTGATATTTAAGGTGGAACTGAAAATCCGAATAAGAAGCTGGCGAACAGGAAGCGCCTCAGCTTCGTGTTTAAAAAGCATATTAAAACATTATTACCACTCAAACACCATCATGCCTGAGCCAGCAAAGCCCCAAACACAGAGTGGGAGACCGAGTGTCAAAGAGCTGTTTACCTGCAGCGGATCGGCTCTCCTGCTGAGCTCCGCCGATCAGGGAGCGGATCTCCGCTCAGAGTCCTGAGGGTCTGTGGTGCGGATGGTCTGATGAACCGACTCTGGATCAGCTCTCCTGCTGCGCTGCTTCTGCTTCTTCTTCTCCTTCTCCGCTTTACTGCAGTTGGAGAACCGCAGGTGTAGAATTAGCGCCCCCAGCTGGACTACAGGAGGAAAAATCACTCTGGAACCACATGATCGCCCACCCGACAAACCCAGATCAGAGCCACTTTTACAGTAAATTACATTGAAAAGCTCGTTTAAATCCTTCAGTTTGGCCTGAAGAGCTTGCACTGCGTGAAAACACACCGTCCAGATCAAATAAAAGCTGTAGATGTTCTACATGGATAAACAGATCTGTAAAAGCTGCCAGCTGCATGCTGAAAAAAGGCTGTTATGTTGGTCTGGTGTTGGTTTAGCTGGTCACCCCAGCATGGTCATGCTGGTGACCAGCCTGGTTATACTGGTTCGCTCTGATCTGTGACCATGTGGATCCACACTGCTACTCACTTTCTGCTGAATACAGGCTGGAGAAAAATGGGGGTTAAAGCAGCAAAGAAGAAATAAAATACTCAGAAAAGCTGAAACGCCATATTGCTGCTAACGACCCAACTTAGTCTGGAAAGGCCTTCAAGAGATCACCAGCTTCAAGGTGGTCTCCTGCAGCAGCAACCACTTAACACACAAAAGACTGTAAAGATGGGCATAGACTTCAGGAACAAACTCTGTGGAAAAGGAGTTTGTTAAATATGGAGGGTTTAAAGAGGAGTTCATTCTTCTTTCTGCAGCTAAAATCAAGCTGTTATATTACTGTTTTACCTCAACTGAACAACTCAGATCATTGAAACATGTAAAAACATAAAAAAACAAAACAAAACAAAACAAAAAAAACAACAAAAAAACAAAAAAAACAAAAAACATTTGATTTTATGGGCTGAATTTGACTGTTTGCTGTGATTTCCTCAAACTAAAGACAGTGCTAATGACACAGTGCCTTCACTTCAGGCAGTGAGACAGATAGTCAAAGTAAACGAAATTATGGCTGAATGGCATCAGCAGCGGGTAGCCGTGTGGACCTACACGGTCCCAGATCAGAATCAATCCATGCACAACCAGCATTTATCTGACCTGAGTGCTGTGTTTTCTCCACACAATTCAGGTCAAACTGACTAATTTAAATGAGCTTCTGAATGTAGTTTAATGTAAAAGTGTCTCTTTGTTCTGGATTATTGGGATAAAAACTCTTTTGTTTCTGTCCGATTTGGAGTTCCAAGTGAATCCGCTTTGGTAATTCTGCACCTGCGGTTCTCCGATGCCAGAAAGATGGAGAAGAAGAAGCTGAGCAGCAGGAGATCTCTGATGTTCCAGATTTCACCACAATTCGATAACCTCTAGACCTCTAATAGTCTCTTGAGAAAAATAACTCATACTACACTGATTGGTTCATCTACTGCATCCATAATGAGCAAAGTCAGCGTTTTCTGACAATTATTTACTTTCAGACTCCACAGACAGTTTCTAGACTAATTTTGAGATAATATCCTGAAATTTGAGGTACGAGTTCAAATGTAGCATTTTTCAAGCTTTGCACAATTGCAATAAAACCAAAACTTTTCTTAAACACTTTGCAAAATTGCTATTCTCAGTGCACTGTCTCTACGAGATAAATCCAGTAGGAGTATTTATTTGAAAATGTCCAGTTTGCAATTACTGTTTTAGCCCCACCTGGTGGTCAAAAATTATAACCCTGCCATGGAGAAGTAAGAGTACTAATGTGGTGGACTGAAGTTTAAATCAAACTGCCTACTTGTCAGTGCAGTTCATTAACATACATATATTTGTAGTCATAGAGTTTTGAGCCCTAATGAAATGTATCATTTGAATCTTTTATTGTTTCTTAATTGTAATCTTAAGACGATTTAGCACTGTAGGACCATACTGAGACTAATTTAAATAAATCAATCAATCTGTACATATGGTCCAAACTTGCTTTAACCCCTTTAGTTACAATAACCCAACTTCCACTTATGGATTTATGTGCTGCAGCCAGAATGTGCAGTAAAGTCAACATCTTTTTTAGAATTATTTACTTTCAGATTCCACAGATTGTTTCTAGACCGATTTTGAGACATCATGAAAACTTAGAGATTAACTCAAAAATGGTAGAGAAAAACCAAAAACAGACTGTATTTGGTAACTGTCAAAGATTAAATGAACTTAATTTCTTACCCACAAGATAAACACAGTAAGACATATGGTTGATTTTATAAATAGCACCAGGTGATGGCCAATTAATAGCATTTTTCATAGGTTGTTAGATTATGTCTACATGTGCATACTATTCAAATTTTAAGATGATAGCCAATATCAAGCCTGACAATACCTGCTGAAAGCCAATAGTTTAGTTGTCCTTAAGATATCCTTTATAAGATAGCTCAAAGATTCAGCATGCAATTCGACAAGCGGCGGCTGAGAAACAGTTTTTGCATATTGTAGTGTCCCCTGTTGAATAATTGTTGTCAAATTTGGTGGGTTTCCTCAAAATCAGGGGGGGTATAAGCTTATTCAGATTAATGAGAATTAGTGAAAGTGATCTTGAGCTGCAGCAATTTTTCTGAATTAAGTTTTTAATTTTTTTTGATAGTTCTTTACCTCCAGACGCTTGCGGACACCTATTTTGTGGAGAAATAAAGGAAAACCTCTGATTAGTTCACAAAAGTTAGTTTCACATATTTTGTCAAGTTTGATGCAAATTTTGGAGGTGGAGCTAAAAAGACCCAGTGCAGCATTAATGCGGAGTAAACCAAGGAATCTGGAGGGGAAAATCATTTTGGCTCATGGTTTAGGAGATATGGGCTGAAATGTATAATGTTGCTCAGTGGCGCCGCCATCAGGCCAATCGAGTGAGTGCATGAGAGTAGAGGGTTTACCCGATACCAGTTTCCTAGCATCAGTTCATTTTGGGATTTTAGCCACACAGCATGTTGTTATTGTTTGTTATTGTTGTATTTGGGGTAATTTGGGGAATTTACAGAGATCCTTTATCCTGTATGAATCAGTCAGTGAAATCATGCACAGATTACATTACTATGGGAGGCAAGTCCAGGCAAAAAGAAATTAAAATTAAAACAATAAAATGTAAATGCAGACCTCTTTTTGCCATTTCTTTTTCCAAAAATCTGTGCAAATATCCTGCCAAAATTGAAAATGAAATAAAATACCTACATTTGCAATTTCATTTTTCACATGAGCATGAGTAGTTTGTGACAAAAATAAAAATTTAAATTTGATGTACTTGTTTTATTGTTTGTTTTTAATTATTACTTTAACAATGTTCTGAACATTGTCTCTGTTGGAAATAGGACCCAATATGGTTTCCACAATTTTGTTACATTTGATGTTGAATTATTTTTTCTTTCTCTTCCTTTTTCTCTTCCAGAATGGAATGACATCCTGTTGCAAGTATTTTTCTGCTCCTAGTTTCTGTTCAACATAGTTTCACCAACAAGCTTCCAAGAGGAGAACATTTTAGAGTCATCTCAAAATACACTAGCGCGTTCACACAGGAGAGAGACCATATCAGTGCTCAGAGTGTGAGAAAAGCTTTACTGACATGGTCACCTCCAAGAATATCAGCGCGTTCACACAGGAGAGAGACCGTATCAGTGCTCAGAGGGAGGACAGAGCTTTTCCGTCAAGTGCAATCTCAATAAAACACCCGCGCATTCACACCAGAGTGAAACTGTATTACTCGATTGTGAGAAGACCTTCATTTGTTCTTTAAAGGACCAGAAGTGCCCTAAAAAGGAAGGTAGAAACTGGTGGTGAAAGGTTTTCTAATCTAATCAAGTCTATCAGCTGGACCAGAAGTTTCCATTCTTCTCCTTTAATTTCTTTGAAATAAATGGATACATTGCGCTTCACAGTAATCCCCAGAACTGAAATGGGTTTATCTACCGTTGCAGTTTGGTACTCATGAGAATTGACATGGCTAGGCCTTTACTCTCTGCTGTGGTACTGTCCAACCATCAGAAACTGCCCAAACATCATTTATTGGTGAATTTTTGAGCGTAGGCATTTCATGTCTAGTTGAAGCATATTGTTAAGCTTGGATCATTTTAATATTCATGTATGCTTCCACTTTTGTCTTTGGTTAAATGGCTCTGGTACTTGGCTGGGAATGCAGAAGAGTTCCCAGATAGCAAATGTGATATGGCCCAATCCTGGGCTGAATCAGGCATTCACCCGTGGCCCACATACTGCATGGGATAACTGCAGAGGAGAGGGCCAGATGAAGTTACCAAAACCCAGCCTGCATTTCAGCCACCTTTAATCCAGCACTGTCAGAACTGACCCACCACTCGAAAACACTAGTACAAAAAACAGACTGTTACAACAGCTTCCCTGTTGGTCTGTATCACTGCACCACCTCAGAAAAATCCCTGTGGTGTTAATGGAATAATCTTTGACTCTAATGCTGCTTGCATGGAGCACTGAGTGTACTGATGAAGTAAGAACCCGGTGTTGTGTAAACTAAGTAGTTGACAACTATCTAGAACTAGGCTGGTCAGATAGCTAACAGGCTAAAAGAGAGCAAGCATACTAAACAACACTATCATTAATATCACAGGCATGAATTAAAGTACTTATGGTATGATTAGCTGTAAAACTGCAGTATAAAAGACTGAAGGACGCTTGAATGTCTTATATGTTTCAAATGTCCGTGTTTCAGTCAGAAGTCACATCAAACCCAGACTGATTCCCAAACGGCTCCGTATTCCCTAATAGTTTGCTAGGGTTTTGAAATTTTAGCTTCTATAGCCAACTAGTCAAGTGTGCATGACTATTTCTTAGCTGTATTTTGCACTGTTAGTCTGCAGGAGTCAGTATTTAAATTCCATAGTGCACTATGTAGGGTTAGGGTTAGGATTAGGGTTAGGTTAGGTTTAGGGTTAGGGTTTAGGGGTTAGGGTTAGGGGAACATACAATGACTTCCCCCATCAACTGTCATCAGACAATTGTGGTTGGATAGGAAGATCAAGGGTAAAGGGGAATTTTAGGACACATCATCAGTAGTGTACCCCAGAGTCATCGGGTGTTTCGGCCTTTAAACGCTATACACCCTCATCCGAGGCGGCCAGCCATAGGTTGATCAAGCCCAGGCTTGTGTCCCATGTTCAATTCAATAATTTATTTTTAAGGTATTTTTATGTCTTATATAGTATAAAAGCTAATTTTGGGGGGGGTTGGTTTTTATGCCCTTGTATTTTTGAGAATGCTATTTTAGCCTTTTCCTTCACAAAAGTTTCTTTATTTTAAATTCTAAACTGCTGTGTTCTGTGGTGTGTGTGCTGATAGAAGACTGGGCACTCATTTAAGGTCCGTTTGCCCCAGACCACCTTCCCTGCGTGCTGTCCTAGTGGACCCAGAGAGGCTGAATACTTACCACCTGCCCAACTGACCCTTTGTTTACACCGCTAGGTTGCCCAGGTCAGCCAGACAAGGTCTGAGAAATGGTCTCATCTTGGGGCCTATCCCAGTCCATCTACCCAAGCAAGTGGTAGAAAAACCAGGACCCAGGTCTCGGCACCCCAGGGGCGCGAGCCAGCCGCGAATGGATCGCTGCCTCCCGAACCCCAGAAATACCTGAGCCAGTGCCCAAGCTCCCTGTTTGTTGACACCACAAGGCATCACAGGTTGCTTAATGCAAGCTTGGGCCTACTCTGGTATACACCAGAGCCCAGAAACCAGAGACCAAGGGCCAGGGCCAGCCGCGAACGGATCGCTGCCTCCCAGAACCCCTGGGACCGGAAACCGTGCCCCAACCACCCGTTGCCAGGTGACCAACTCCAAGACCCGGGAAGGTAGGTCCCGTGCAATACGTCACCTCCCAGACAGTCTTGGGCGGAGGTCCAAGCCGGCGGATAGCTTCCCTTCGAATTCCAGGCCGGTGTTAGCCGACACTGAAATCTTTCTGGGAAGATACCAAGCTTCTACCGCTTTGGACTCCCTTTTTGGGGTTGTACACCAGTGGCGGACTGGCTCCTCACCTTTCAAGATGTAGGAACCCGTCAGGCTTCTACCAGCAGTGCTCCCCCCACCTGAGTGTGTTGTGGCTTTGGGGGATGTGGTCTATCTTGACTGTGATAAATTCCATCGCGGCGAACTCTTATACTTTTATGACATGGGATTGTTCGCAAAAGTACAATGTTTTATTAGCAAAAAGTTCCATGTCTGTATCTGTTTTCGTTTTAAAGTTATTAGAGTTTAAAGATTTGGTTTTGTGACCATTTGCGTATTGGGAAAATTCCCAGGATTCTTTGAGAATCTACCGTGAACTAGAGTTTTGTTCATTTTGGTGTAGTTCTGGGTTTGCTGCTTATTTAGTATCATGATTCCCTATTTCAGGGAATCACCCATGCTATTCTCCCTCTAGGGATGAATATTGGGCTCCGAACTCAGGCTTGTATTCCAGAAGTTTGGGGCCTGGTCTGGTTAAGGTCAGGGGCCTGATAATCTGGTCCCCGCCATAGATTGGGTGGGAGGGTTTTTATTAATGAATTAATTAATTTATTTATTTAATTTTATTTTTTATATTTATTTATTTATTTATTTATTTATTTTATTTTATTTTATTGTTTTTTATTTATTTATACTAAGGTGTAAGGTTGGGTTTTAGGTCCAAGATTAGGGTTAGGGGTGGTGTTTAAGATTAGGTTTTAGGGTTTAAGGTGAGGTTTAGGATTAGGTTGAGAATAGGTTTAGGCCTAAGGTTAGGTTTAGGGCTAAGGTTAGGGTTAAGGTTAGGTATTAGGG